CAATCAATCATTTCTAAAAAGCTGCTTTTACCACAATGAAAATAATTTAGAGCCTGCTCTGCAACTAAACCTGAGCTAAAATTATTCTCAGGAGAAAAAAAAAAATCTGATAAAACTGTCTGAATCTATGCACTCCTTGCACACATACACAGATGTTGTTTATATTTTAAAAAAGTCCTCCTCCCGTCTTTCCCAGAATCCCTTGTTGTTTCTCCCAGCGTGCTTGCAGGTTGCAGGGAGAAGGAGGAGCTAAAATGTCAGAGGTCAACTGACAAAAAATATGCTTGATTTTTCTTTTACCCTCTCTACACATCTTTCTCTAACATCTACCACCTCTCTACCTCCCTTTTTTATTCCCAGTATACATTCACTCAGTGATCAAGTTTAAGATTGAGGGATGGGGCTCAAGTGTGTACGTGCACTTTAACACGCTTCTTCTGGTCTCTGTGGTCATAAACGTTTTCATCCTGGGACCGAAATGCTTTCAGATTTTCCATAAAAAAAAAAAGACTTTTTCCATTTCATAAGATAAATGGACAAATAGCAATATTAGGGCTAAAAAAAGAACAGTTCTCTCTACCCAAGCAGTGATTTCATATAATTAAAGATTTCAATTCTACAATGAGACATAATATTTTCTGAAAAAAATGTCATCTGACTTCCTTTTCTTTCATCAAACAATTGATTAAGCAACTTTAAACTGAGTTATGTTCCTTCTTAAAGGACAACAGGTCACCAAGGTCTTTTATTGGTAGAATGATTACATATATATTTTTAACCACATCATCTGTATTTACGATCATTTTAAATTAGGTTGTGGATGCTGGCTCTTATAAATGTTTTTCAGTATGAGAAATAATGCCATGCCTCATTGATCGCTCATGAAAATGCTCCTGTCCTCCTCATTTAGGGAGGTCAGAGGTCAAAGAGTAAACCTCCTTTATCTATTTCCTTTCAATTCTGCAGTGTATCCTGATTTCATATTAGTGCAAATGAATCATTCTCTTAAAATGAATCTCTAGCTCCATCTAGTGGACTATATTGACCATGACAGTTACACCTGTACATGTGCATCTGTGTCTGTGTTAAAAGTTTTTAATTGTACCTTCATCCTCAACTAAAATTAGTAGGAATGGATTTTCCCTCCTCAGTTCTACTGAGAACTGTGTTGACTGACACCCTGTTATGAATGTTATGAATCCTCTTCAGCTTTTGATATTGAAACCCAATCCCAGGACAAAGAGCAGCACTGTGCTTTTGATTCCTGTTTGCGGTCATTGTACCTAACAGCTGCAGGGATGACTGCATGGACGAGAATGTCAGAGGTACCAGTGGCCTTAAATGGAGCCACAAGTGTGGTGTGAGTCCTCCAAATGACTCTGCTATTCATTAAGCAAATTGTTTACTGACACGTGCCAGTTAGTGGTGGTCATTTGTTTCTTTTGTCCATAAAATTAGTCAATATCTCTTAATTTCTACTGATATTACCTCTGGCTGAAGGAAGTTTTAGCGTACACGTGTTTGAGATGGTATACGAAGCACATTAAGCCAGCAACTGCCACAAAGGGATCGAAGCCATGTGACCTGAAATGAATGTCAAATATCTACAGTATGACGACACTTTGCAGTGTGTATTAGTGGCTTCGGCTGTCCCAAACATTCCACTTGAAGAGATAACTTAGAGAGCTTTTGTCTGAGAATGCAGGCGACAAGTGTCAACACCGGATACAAATCTGCCATGGCACAAGACCGCTGTTAACTACCTTGCCTTGCCAAGTGCTTGCTTGGAAAATATAAAAACAACACAGACTTTGCTTTGTGTCCATCTATCCTTCAACTCTCTCTGATGTCTCAGACTTATCCTTTGACACAACTTGGAGAGGTGACTCATGCAGCCATTGGCCAAACTGGAGGAAGTCAACATTTTCATACATATATTTTAGATGCAACACATCCAGTTCTGATGTTCACTGTGTGAACACACTGAACCATTACACAAACCAGCCAAATCAGAAACCACATTTAAAGGGATAGTTGGGATCTTTTGAAGTGGGGTGGTGTGAGGTACTTATCCATAGTCAGTGTATTACCTACAGTAGATAGCGGTTGGCTCGTCCCCACTTTAGAGAAGCAGGCAGGAGTACCGCCACAGAAGCTAAGCAATGTACTGTTGTCGATAGGGGTAGCAACAAAACATATTTTAGCCACCTAAAATATATATAGTTCATCAAACCACTAAATTTACGCTACATCTAGAACATTTTCACTGCCTTACCTAGCTGTCAGAAAACACTTTCCAACAGGGATGCCATTACTGGCTTCAGTTCCTCATCTACGCCATTGTCAAGGCCACAAGACTCCTTTGACAAAAACAGCCATTTTATCTTGCTGAGTGCAGGAGTTGCTGCTCTACCACTGCCTCGATCAGTCATTGTGGTTGAGTTATTGTGTGACAAGAGGAGATTTAAGTGGATACGCAACACTACGTTTACTGGTGTTGCATAAGGTCAGATAAATAGACAGAGGCGTGACTAATAGATAGTATTTTTATGATGGCTACTAAGCCAGAGTCCTTGTGGTAATACTAACTACTGGGGGTACACAATTTGTATATTTGTATTTATGTGTTTTTCTTCTTGTACCTTTATTTTTATGAGTGCCCTGACTCATACATGCTCACATTGTATTTGTTTTCTACTTTGCCAGATGTTTCTTTGGTCCAGCACCCACTCCACTGGACATTGGGATGTGCATGTCTTTTGTACTGCATTTACTTGAATTTACTTACATAATCCCATACACATAACATGATGCACACAATCATTTGTAACGACACTCTATGGAACACATACAATACACTCCTTGTGGTGATGTACAGTATTAACCTCCTTTTTTCCTTCACATGTGGTTTTAACAAACAGAATCAATTCTGCCACACACTGTCACATGTGAGCCATCTCATCATCTCCCAAGATTTTGTTCTTCTAAATGATTTGAACTTACTCTTTCTGCAAACCAGTCTCCAGGCTGTGTAGCGAGATGAGCCTCCTGCATCCAAAATGCTTGTAAAACTTTCATTTGTAATTGTGAAAAAAGGGTCCATAATCCTCAACTGGGAAAAAGGGCAGAAACCAGGCGGGGAGAAAACTAAAAACCTTAATGTGACCCCAGATCACCGAGATGCCAATTCGCAAGGGGCGAATGAAGCTCAGCGCAAGTTCAATAAGGAAGACTTTCTTTATGCTTCATCCATTCACAATTTCCTCTCTATCCCACTCCCACCACTTCCACCCAATTTTTACCTGACAAATTTCAGACATTGCAGATTCATACAGGATTAAGATCATTTACAACCTCTGCAATTATTTCAAATTACCAGAGATCCCCAGGTAATTCTAGTCCCATGTGAATAAGGCTTCTACAGAATCTGAACTAATTCTTTCAAACTCTGTGGCCGCTTCTGCCTTGCCCTCTGCCAGGCCGGCCATGACCACATTCCAACTGTCAGTGCCGTCAGCGGACCCAGACTCTTCTCGGTCTAGCCCTTTAATGGTTCCCCCTTTGGGAGCTTTAACATCTTTAGCTCCTCATTTAGTTGGTTGTCCTGGTTCCAGCCAGATGGCTCCACGCCGGACCACACGGCAAACTGCTGGCCAGCACCCAAATGTACACCGTCTTCCACGAGCAGCTGGAGATGTCCGGGCTGCTAGTCCCCCTGCTCCTGTGTCCAATGCAGTCTCTGCTTTGTTTAGACCTTGGAGCTAGTTTGCCATGTTAGCCTTAATTTGTTGATCGTCGGGACAACGATCCAGGGAGGAGGGGTAGGATGTAGCAGCATAGAGGTGCTTATTGTCATTGTTTACAATGTGTGCCGCTGGGGGCCGCTAATGAGGTGGGCCGGTATAAAAGCGGCAGTCCTCCCACTGGTTCTTTTTTTGTGCTCCCATCGTCGCCTCTGCGTCACTTCCGGGTCGGAGGTCGTCTGGTCCGACAGGGCGACTGTCTGTGTGCTGCTCTGGCCCCCCTGTATGCGCTGCTGCGTTTGTTGGCTGTGGTAAACGCTGGTGGCTGCATGGAGCCCTCTCTCCCCCTCCCTCCTCTCGTGTGAGTGTGTGTGTGCCCGCGCTGCTGAAAAGGTGCTAACTGTAGCCAGCTTATCGGGCCGCTGCTGTTTTGTCGCCGCTGCTGCTTTGTTTCCGCTGCTGCTTTGTCTCCTGTTGTATCTCCTGCTTGCCTCCATCACGTCTGCCGTTTGTCTCTGCTGCTGCTTGTCCTCACGGCACGGTGGCACGCTGCGGCACTGTAAGCCGCTCCGCAGCTCTGCTTCCACCATAGGCACTATTGCTCTGTTTCACGTCTGGAGCAGGACGGTTGCTCGTCCGCCCGTCGCGGGCTGAGACATTATTTTTAACCGGGGTTTGGTCCCCCGCATTTTGAGTGAATGAGTGTGTGAGAGTGTGGGTTATATTCTATTAGCTTGTTTATTTTTATATTGTTTGGGTTGAACCTGATTTTGTTTGTTTGTATAATTTATTTGTTAATTAGGTTAATTTGAGAGATTTTGTATATGTAATTGGATAATTGTTTGGGGTTTGTTTTCTTTATTTAGCATTAATTTCTTTTTTGCTTTGTCTATATTTGAGTATTTCAATTGGGCAGTTATTAGTTGTTACATTTTGTTAAGTTTAAACTTGTGATCTGCCCATTAATTACAATTTTTGTTAAATTTTGATTTATTGATTTTGTTTGTTTCATTGCAACCCCACTAATTTGTTTTATCATTCCCCTTTTCAGTTGCTGGAGGCCGGTGGTGGTGGTGCTGGTGTTTGGTGGTGGTATCCATCCTTCCGTCTTGTCCGCTGTGTTCCTGGGAGTGGGAGTAGTCCTTGTCCACTCACTAGGCCTCAGCCCTGATTAGGTTCTTTCCCCCTCCCTGTGTGAATGTTTTTTTTAATATAAATTTTTTTTTTTTATAAATTGTCTTTTTTTTTAAACTTGGAACCACGTCTCATGCCCCTTTGAGTAAACGAACCTGTGTGTCTTGTATTGAAGAAGTAATTCCCTGGGTGAAATTCCCAGGGTGGCGTTGTCGAGCCCTTTTCTTGGTAACAGTATTGGCTTTATATCCTTTCACCTCCACCTCGCCACACTATAAAACGGCTTCAGTTCTCTGTCAGAAATTGCTGTCTGACAGCAAGATAAAGCACTGAAAATATTCTAAATATAGCATATACAACTGATATTGATCATTTTTGGAGGCTAAGACACATTTGGTTGCTGCCCCCAGCCAAAGCAGTACATTGCTTTGCTTCTGTGTCTGCACTCCTGACTGCTTCTCCAAACTGGAGGCGTGCTGAGAGACATCGACTGTAGGTAGTACACTGACCATGGATAAGTACTTCATACACCCCAAGTAAGTGCTTCCTTTAATTCTAGTAGCTCAATTAAAGGAAGCAGAACACACTTTTCATCCTTCTTGTTTTCAATGCTGATGAGATATTACAGCTGTTTCCTAACACCCTGATAGTGAGGATTTCACTTGCCAGGTAATAACAGGCTTAAATGGTTCCAACACTTGGGTAATCTTTTCCTTATCACTGTCCCATACATCACAGAGCACAGCCTCTCTACACATCTCTAGTCATTTTTGTAATGCAGACTTTTTAATCATTGTTTTCTGTCATTGAATCACTGCTTTACATAAATCTTTTTCTAATACAGACGTGACTCTAATTTGACCTTATTTATGGGTCAGCATGACTCATGACTGAAGGAGCTCCAGCAGGTGGGGTGTCCTTTCTCTTCTGAGGTTTAACTCGGGATATCTGTTGAGCTGAGTGATCCATGGCAGAGCTCAGCCTCCCCTCTATCTTTAGTGAGCCACGCTCAGTGAATGGACAGCCTAACTTTATCTGGCCCACTGTCATCGAAGCTGCTGGTATTTTTAGGTGGTGGCTTGCAGTGGCAGCAGCTGCGAAAGCATTTAATGCCCCCTACCACCCCCCACCCCCCCATTCCAACTCTCTCTCTCTCTTTAGCTGTTGGACAATGACAGTATCAGAGCTGACGCAGACACCAAGCACTCGGCTGAAGGACTGTGGTCATATTCCTCTCTGCCACCTGCAACCTCGCACCAAACCAAGGGGACGCAACCAAGACATGACACCTGCGACTAAAAGCCTCAAAGTGTGAATGGAAGATTAATTTTTCTTATTTTTTACGACTCTCAGTGACCAGGAGGTGTGTCAAATGTGAGCCAGGATCCACAAACAAACAAAGAGAAGAGGAACAAGAGCTGAAGAGTTTTACAGAGCTTCACAACAGAGCAACAGAAAGATTATCTGCCATTTCTACCAATCAAGGAATAATCTAAAGACGGGCCAAAGCTTTTATGTGTTCACTGATGCTGGACTGAACTTTGCGAGGACATAATTTTAAAGTAAACTTCACATCATGGACAGAATGCTTTAACGACGCGACTCAAATAGTGGTAAGTTTATCCTTTTTTCAGTTTCCTGTCTCATGTCTCGCTTGCCTCTTCTTCTCGACATTCAGGCCTGTTTAAGTAGATTCATTTCTATCCATGAGTAGCTGAGCCTGTCTCATGTTTTAACTGATTATGAGATTTATGAAATATCAGACATGCTACCCGAAGAGCTATTTCCTAGCCAAGACATGAGCACATGACTACATGATTCATGCTGTTTAGATGATGTGCATCAGATGGTGATGGGTAGAGTGTGGTGCGTCATATAGCAGGGACGGATAATGCCAAATGAAAGATGGTGACAACATGAGGGAATCAAATGAGTCATATGAGAGAGACCCTTATCAATAGAGATGAATTCAGCTTTAAATAGTGAATGACAACAATACAAAGACAATCTATCAGGAAGTATACAGCTGACATTTATGCTCCACACATACATAAACCAATAGGTAAGTTTTGTCTTAGTGGGTGCAGACTGCAGTTTGTGTGCTATGTGACACATGGTCTCCGGTGTCTTTTTTTGGACAGACTACTTTATAAATACACTCCTCAATGAGCTACAGCACCAGCTGAGAGACGACACAGAGTGGTTTACGTTTGCTCAAATCCTACTTTACTAAACCACCAAGCATGTGATAAACACCTTGCCAAACATGTTCAGTTAAGCCTTGGTAACTTTGCAAAGTATTTTGAATATCTGAAACACGGTAATACACTCCTCTCTGCGTTAAATCATCCAAATCAGATTTCTGATCATAATATAGTCCTTCCATTTGTCTTTCAAGGTTTTCTTTCAAAAATATTTTGCATTTGACAATAAGGACACTAAGAACAATAAGTCACTACAGTCAAAGCAAGAAAACTCTCCATTTTGTGTTTGGATGTGACTTTGGGTGTGTGCAAAGGCGAGAGGTCTGAGCACGTTCTGCAAATTTTTAATCTGTTTCAATTCCCTAATCAAATACATATTTTCTTCATCTTACAGCTCCTTCATCAAAGATAAGAGGTTCTAATCGAGGTGATCCAGGAACAAAGAAAATTCTACATACAAACCACAGTGAGGGTGACTTCATCATGGATATTTTTGGAGGCGCTCCTCGTGTTTTGGGCTACCCACGCCCTGTGGTGGCACAGTGTGGCACAGACGCCATACTGAGGTGCCAAATCGGTGGGGACCCTCGTCCTGATGTGATCTGGGAGCGTAAAAACGTCCAGATCGTGTCTGAGGGACGCTATAAGCTCTCTGAGGAGGGAAAAGCTTACCTGCTGACCATCACTGGAGTGACTCTGCAGGATGCTGGCCAGTATATCTGCAAGGCCAGAAACAGTGTAGGTGAAACCTACGCAGCAGCCTCCCTCAAAGTGGAAGGAGAGGCCCAGCCACAGGAAGGTGGGCAATTAGGGGTCAACGGCGTGCAGCAAACATTGAAAGAAAATGGAGAATTTGAAGGACACCAGAATGGCTACTGCACAGTCAACAATGGTGAACACAGGAGAGAAAATGGAGAGGGGCTAAATGGAGAACACAAAGGGAAGTTTCATGAAAAACAAGAGGAGGTTGATTTAACGTCTGATGATAAACCACGATTCCTCATCAAGCCTCTCTCTCTGCGCGTGGATCGGGGAGAAGATGCCGCCTTCTCCTGCAAACTCTGGGGCACTCCTCTGCCCTAGGTGATGTGGGAGAAAGACGGGAAGAAGCTGAACGACATCTTCGAAAGTGCGCACTTCAGTGTGAGCAATCAAGATGGCGGCTGGTTCCAGCTCAAGATCTACAGGACGCGCATGCCAGACAAAGGCGTCTACACCTGCAGGGCTGTCAACTGCCACGGTGAGGCCTTGGCTGGTGCTGTCCTTCTTGTTGAGCCTGTACCGGAACGGGAGGAGAGTAAAATGTCTTCAAACAGTCATTCTAACAGCCAGTGGTCGCCGAAGCACAGGGGCGGGAGGCTCAGTTTGGCAAGGGTCATCGAGGAGCAGTCTGTCAACATGTCTAAAGCCAAGAAGTTTGCGGTGACAGAGGGGAAGCACGCTAAGTTCCGCTGCTTTGTGACCGGGAAGCCCAAGCCAGAGATTATCTGGAAGAAAGACTGGGTTCCCCTAGAGCCTGGGAGGCGTCATCTGATATTTGAGGACAGAGAGGGTTACTACACGCTGAAGGTTCTGTACTGTAAAGTGCAAGATACAGGACTCTATGTGTGTGCAGCATCAAACGCTCTTGGAAACACCCTCAGTGCTGTCCACCTGTCCGTCAAAGGTAGGAGATAGCTCCCTGCTTTGCCTGCAATTCCAACTGGCTGAACACACAGATTTCCAAATGTAAAATGGTCTACATCGTTGTTCAAAGTGCCATTGCATTAGCTAGATGGAAAACCAATGCAAATATAATTAACTATTAAAAAATCCAAGGCACAGTCTTCATCATTCCAAACAACAAACAGAGAGCAAATAACACAATGAATTTCAAGGGATTCTGTGCCAGTGTCATTCTTGTCATTGTTGGTGAATACTTTAAAGAAACTACTAATACATGGACCCTAATATTCCATTAATAATCAGAATAATAGCCCAAACCGAATAAATGTGCCTCATGTAACCACCTCGATAGCCAGATCGGGAGGAACTGTTGACGGTGTTGAAGAATGGTGGTGTAAACCTTTGATGATCTGTTAAATGGGAAAATATTAGTGCCTCAAAGCAATGTAAATGCTAATCCAATCATCCCTCTCTGGTAGGAATAAATATTGTCTTTCTGCACACGTTTGTCAGATGTGGGGGTAACATCTGGTGACATGAGGGAAGTGTGCGCCACACCCAACGTGTAACAACAGCCGTTTCTACGCCCCTCCCTCTGCCAATTTTGACAGCGAATTATTAACAAATTCTAATTAATAAATGTATTCTTTGATTCTGAAACAGTAGCCTTATGTGATGTTGTTGCTAGAAGCTAAATTTTGAAGTTGAACATAACAATTGTCTATTAGTACCAGTAGAAGACGACCGTATATGAGAAATTTAGGGAACATCTGTAACTTATAACTACAGAAAATAACCTGGGTTGCTCTCTGTCTTTACTTTATATACTGAATGAATTGAATTTACTCAATAAGGTTGGAAAAAACTGTTCTGTCACATTTCAGCAGATTAGACACTTCACAGCAGGCCAAACCACTTTGCACAAGCCAAAAAAGGTTACATTCTGATTAAATGCTTTGGGACATGTAAACGCATATCTTATTAGATCACTTATGCTTCGATGTAAAAGTTCAGTTGGATTTCAATCAGACTGAAGAAATACTGTCCCTGAAACCTCTGCTATGGTGTCACTGATGCATCCCAACCACAAGTCGCACTTGAGCAGGCTAATTGCTTCATGTGCATTGTTGAAATGCATGGCATCACCTTTTAAAGTGGCTAATTATTTTATCCTAATCCCTTCATAATGGGCAGATAATTCTCAGGGTCACATGCCTTTTCATATGCACAGTTCTGCACAATGCCAGCTGCCTCTATCATAAGTGTCAGTTTAGTCTTGGGGTCAACATGCCAGTCCATAATGTACAGATAATGTGGAGTGGCTTTACAGCAACTGAGCAGAGCTTAATATCATTCAGTGGTGGCACGACAGATTCCAGCTAACTAGTAAGTTTGTACAACAATGAAATTATGTGACACTGCAAAACCGCTTTTCATTGTGTTGTTATAATCCCTATAAATCTTTGTATACATCTATTTTTGTCAGTTTCAGCCATGACTGAACACTGTAAGCTCCTCATGTCAGTACTGTCACAATAACCATCTCAAATCTGCACTTCATGTTAAGTTAAAGCACTTACCCATTTCCCTTGTTCTCCAGGCCCAGCTGTGCGGTTCAGGCGTCCATTAAGAGACGCAGAGGTGAAGGAAAGGGATGTCGCCATGCTGGAGTGTGAGGTGCCCGATGAGTCGCTCCCATCTGCCTGGTACCTGGAGGACCAGCGGCTGATGCCCAGCAGTAAATACGGGATGGAGCAGAAAGGAGCTACACGAAGACTGACCATCCGTGATGTTGGGACGGATGATGATGGGGTGTACCTCTGTGAGATGCCAGATGGGGCCAAGAGCATCGCAGAGCTTTCAGTTAAAGGTACTTAAACTTTTTTAATTTATAGATTAACGGGAACAGTTACCAGCAGTTTTAATGTACACCATCTTTGGATTTGCGACAGAGATTCACACTAACTGGAGCAGAAAGTTTAGCTAAAAAACTTGTCGTACAATACCAATGAACATAAATAAAATTTGTCTACTTACAGGTGCTATTGTTCGCAAACTTCCCCGGAAGCTGGAGGTCCTGGAGGGTGAAAATGCTGTGTTCTGCGTGGAGGTGGAGAACGACGACATGGAGATCCACTGGTTCAAAGACGGTTTGAAGCTACACGAAACTCACCAAACGATCCTGAAATCTTTCGGCAAAACTCACATTCTAGTCTTTGTCAACGTGGCCCATCACGACTCAGGGGTCGTGACCTTTGTGGCGGGACGATCCAAGACCTCATCGCGTCTCAAGGTTAAAGGTACATTTAGGAAAAACTAACCTGCATGTTTGTTTTGCAGTTTCCAGAATTGGTTTGCAAAATATCTTAAGCTTTGAGTTCTAGTTCTTTTAATTCTAAAACTTTGTTTTTTCCCTCTTTTAGCCACAAGACATTGTCCACCTATCTGCCCCGTGGGAATCAAAATGGATGTTGATCGACCCAACAGCGCCTTGCTCACCTGGGTTCCCGCCCCCAACAGCCAGACCTCCACCAGATCCATCTTTGTTGTGGAGAGACAGGAAGTGGGCTCCCAAGAGTGGCAGAAGTGTTTCACCTCGGAGACCGCCACGTCAGCTGAGGTTGGCGGTGACAGCGTGCCGTGCGAGGGCAACTACCGGTTCCGTGTCTGCTGTGTCAACAAGTATGGGCGAAGTGGCCATGTGGAGTTTCCCAAAGCAGTCCATCTGGGTGAGGAGGGATCATAATGTCGAGAATTAGGTTTTAAATGTCCAATTATTGACATATCTGCATCAGGACATCAAGACAGTCTTTCAAGACCACTAACGAGACAGGGGCCTTCAGATTTTTCCAACATTCTTTAAACAATGAAGTTCATGACGGGAATATCTGGTTCACGCAACTTCTGTTAAAGACTCTACCGAGGGATCCCAGCTATTTTTGTTTGGTTCATGTGATTTGTTTGGGTGTGTTTGTGCAATGATATAAAGTTCACTGAGTTTTTTGTTGACTTGTAATTCTACTTTGTTCCATTTTCCTCAGTTCCTGGGCCAAAGATCTGCAGTCGGCTTAAAGGCTGTGAGGTTGTGGTGGGAGAATACGCTCAGTTCGCCATCGAACTGTCTGCCCCGATGGTTGGAACCTGGTTCCTGAATAGCGCTCAGCTGCAGCATGGCGAACGATTTTCAATAACACAGTCTCAAACACGGCACTCATTAGTTATCCGTGACACTCGCGCCACAGATGACACAGCAGAGGTCACGTTCATAGCCAATGGGGTCCGAGATTCAGCTGTGCTAAAGGTCACACGTAGGTGTAACAATCTGTTGTTTTTGTTAAATTTAGCACGTGACAAACGCATTTCTTCGTTTGTTAATTTCTTTATGCTTATTTCTTTGCAGCTGCTGTGGTGAAATTCAGTCCTCTGTCAGACTTAGACAGCAATAAGAAGGTGACCACTGGTGACCCCATTGTGCTTTACTGTGAAGTCTCCCACCCCTTCGCAAATGTATCCTGGTTCAAAGACGGCAAGGAGCTCCAGGTGACAGACGGCCTCAACATCCAATCAGATGGGAACATGAGGAGGATTGTGATTCAATCAGCTGATGCATCTCACTCTGGAGTTTATACATGTGAATCAAAAGGGGATGTCATCACATTCAACGTGGACATTGCAGGTAAAAGGTTTTTGAAAAGCTGATAAAGTTAAGGTGTCATTATATACTTAAAAACTCCGTTTTAGTCACACATTTGCTATTTCCAACTTCTCAGATGTGCTTTTCAAATTTTTACATCATTATAAATTTAATAAGCAATATGAAATTGTGACCTTTTGCTCTAGTTAATCCATGTCTGGTTTATGATTTAGCCACATTGCAGTAGGAATACTTCATATCTTAAGAAGGCATGCTCTAGTACCTTGTGTTCCAGCTGTTGACATCCACTCTTCCCTCCTCCTGCTGTTTCAGGTCCTTCTGTGGAGTTCAAGCCGGTCCCAGAGGAGGAGCTCCATAAGAGCAGCATGGAGCTGGACCCCGTGGTGCTGCTCTGCCATGTCTCCGTAGATGATGCCGAAGTCGTGTGGTAAGACGATGAGAAATGAATTCCCGCTAGAAAAACCAAAAATAAATAATTATACAAATAATTAACTGGAAATTTTGAGTTTTGTTGCCTTGTTTTGAGTTTGTGAGTTGTCTGTGTGTGACTTGTGTCCCAGGTACAAGGATGGATGTGAGATCAAGCCCACTGACAACATCACTCTGCAGGCAGAGGGAACCATGAGGAGGCTGATCATCCGTTCTGCAGAAACCTCAGATGCTGGCAGCTACACCTGCCAGGCAGGAAACAATAGCATGGAGTTCACTGTCAATGTCAGAGGTACAGGAACCTGTCCGACTGCTGTTGGTCTGAGAAATATCTCAAGACACATCCAGTCTCTGTTGATTCATTGAATTTAAGAGACAAGATTTCACACACACACACACACACACACACACATTAGCTACGTTACAAATCTGATCTGACCTCACTCTGCTTCCCCTAACTACAAACACAGAGCCTCCTGTGATGATCGTGGAGCCAAAGGATGATGTTGTGATGGAGAGCTATATCTCAGAGGAGATCAACCTGCAGTGTGAGTTGTCTCGCTCCACTGGGAAGGTGCGGTGGTTTAAGGACGGCCAGGAGGTGGATGAAAGCAACAACCTCCAGCTTATATCTGAGGGTCCTTACAGGAGGCTGACCATCCGCAGCGGCTCGGTGGAGGATGGCGGAGAGTATGTCTGTGAAACAGATGGAGACACTGTCTTTTTCCAGCTTACTGTCAAGGGTAAGACTGAAATTTCCCTTAGTGTGCACTTCTGATTGTATCATACATTCAATACAAATCTGTGGAATTTCATGAGTACACAAAAAGGTTACATTTAACTGTCTTCCTCCTGCACCAGAGCCACTGGTAAGAATAATTTCCCCCAGTGAATCAGAGCTGGAACTGACCCATTTGGCCTCCGAGAGACTGGAGCTCAGCTGTGAGATCTCCAAGACAGACGCACCTGTTAGGTGGTACAAAGATGGCCTGGAGGTAGATGAGAGTCTGAACTTGATCCTGGAGGTGGATGGGGCTCACCGCCGGCTGGTTATACCCATGACCACTGTGGACGATACAGGGGAGTATGTATGTGACACTGAAGATGACTCGGTGGCCTTCCTGGTCACTGTTGAAGGTAAGAATGAGGACGTGAGGGTAACTATTTAGCATCCTGATAAATGGATACTCAATAAATGTATATATATATATTCATTAGCATTTCTACCATTAATGACTCTATCATCTTTGTTGACTTTATTCATTTAGAGCCACCAGTAATGCTTACTCTGCCCGAAAACATGCCTGACAAAGTGGAGAGTGTTGCCGGCAAACCAGTCGTGCTGGAGGTTGAGGTGTCCCGGCTAAGTGCAGAAGTCAAGTGGTGGCTAAATGGCAGAGAAATACAGGAGAGCAGTAACGTCACCATCACAGAGGACGGGCTCATCCACCGTCTGACTATTCACTCTCCCAACCCACAGGATTCTGGGAAATACACCTGTGATGCTGTTGATGATAAAATTGATTTCCAGGTCAAAGTTTCAGGTAAGAGGCAAAGTCAGGTCAGCTTTGGAGATGATTTCTGACCCAAAATGCAATTTTAAAGACCACTATAATGTTATATTGAGTGCCAATATGTAATTCTACATCATCAGAGCCTCCGGTGAAGATCCTAAGAAAGTCAGAGATTAAGACAAATCTTAAATCCCTGATTTCTGATGACATTGTGCTCGAGTGTGAGCTCTCCAGAGCCAACGCCGTCGCCAAATGGTACAAGGATAACTGTCGTATTAAAGGCGATGAAAGGTTTTGTGAAGAAGAAGGTGCTTTCCGCTCATTGGTCATACTAAACGCTGAACTCGGAGACTCAGGAGAGTACTTCCTGGATGTTGGAGATGACAGTATCAGCTTCCAGGTTTTGGTAGAAGGTACGTTTATTTAGTGAATTTAATTAAATAAGATTTTGTTTAAAAACTGTTCCTTACATAAATCATCTATCTCTTCCCCTTGGCTATAGAGCCTCCAGTGAAAATCGTGGGCAACTCAAGTGACCCTGACTACCAGGAAATGGTGGCAGGGGATGAATTGATCCTGGCCTGTGAAGTGTCCCGTGCCAACGCCCCTGTCCAGTGGTACTGCAACGATAGGCTGCTTACCTGTGACTCCCGAACCTATATTGAGAGCAACGGCACTCTAAGGAAAATTACCATCTCAGCTATCCAGCCCTCAGATTCTGGGAAGTACGTATGTGACGCTGTGGACGATAAGATGATGACCATTGTCAGGATTGAAGGTAAAAACACACAACGATGTCTCAAGAGTTATGATTATCAATATAATCTCAACGTTACTGAACATTTGGCTCTATTTTCTTTCTCATCAAAGAGCCTCCAGTTATATTTGTGAACAAGGAGGAAGACATTGTCGTGACGGGTTACGAAGCAGAGAGCGTGACCTTGACGAGCTACGTGTCTAAGGAAAGTGCTCACGTGCGTTGGCTGAAAGACTGGACGCCTGTTGAAGGCGAACGTACCCGAGCACTCGTGGAGGGCCACAAGCGCACCCTTACCATCGAGCCTTTGAGGCGCTCTGATGCTGGCGAGTATACTTGCGATGTCAACACCGACCAGATCCACTTCAGCTTGCTGGTGAAAGGTGAAATTTCAGTTTCAGCTTCATCTTGTCATACGATAAAATTGTAGAAAATTTCAGATTTGACTAAACTTTTTGTGTGTGTCAGAAATGAGAATCAAGTTTGTGAGGCTGCTCCGAGACACTGTAGCACATGCTGACGGTATGGTGACCCTTCGCTGTGAGGTGTGCAAGCCAAAAGCAGATGTCCAGTGGCTAAAGAATGGCGTGGAGTTGGTTCCAAGCAGGAGGTTCTCAATTCGGGCAGATGGAGTTGAGCGAAGCTTGACCATCCACCGTTTAACCAAAGAGGATGCTGGGGAGTACGCCTGTGAGTCCAGAGATGACCGGACTGCGGCAATGCTGAGGGTAGAAAGTAAGTATGCCTGTATTCAGTCTTTTCATATGTAAGTTAGCAGGTTCACTAATTTTCTTATGTCTCTTCAGTGCCTCGGGTGGTGGAGTTCCTCACAGAGCTCCACAACACCACTGTGCTGGAAGGAGAAGACGCCACCTTCAAGTGTGTGGTTTCTCCTGATGATGTCCAGTTGGTCTGGCTCATGGACAATGAGCCTATCACCCTGGGTGATCGTTTCCAGGCAAACCAGAATGGCCTGTGCCACACGTTGGTGATCAAGAAATGCGAGATACTGGACTGCTCGAGGATTACAGCAGAGGCAGAGGGACAAAGAAGCAAAGCCAGCCTCAAAGTTCAGGGTAAGGCCATTTAATGCATAGACAGGATATGGTGTATTACCGGAATTACCAGCAGTTCGTTGTAACCTTTATTTCTATCTCTCCTCAGAGGCTCAGGTCATGTTTGTCAAGAAAATGGAGGCTGTCGTGGCGGAGGAGTTTGGCAAAGCAACCTTGGAGACAGAGATCAGTATTGAGACAGGAGAGGTCCAGTGGATGAGGCAAGGGGTGGTCATCCAGCCCGGTCCCAGACACACGCTGGCCCAGAACGGCTGTAAACGCAGCCTGACCATCCAAAATCTGACTCTGTCAGACCGGGGAACCTATCGCTGCGAGACTCTGCATGACCGGACACAGGTCAAGCTCAACGTAGAACGTAAGTGGTTTGAGATGGGGTGTGGGTGACATGTTGCCAGAGGTGTTTAGACACAATGAGATATACTTTCTGAAATAGTAATTTGACACAGATGAGTTCTGCGTAACTAAACAGTACATACTCTTAGTGGTTTTCACAGGATGTCACATTGCAAAAAAATATACTTAGAATAGAAGGGCTCGACCTGTACGTGTGAAAACATTTTTGAAACACAGCCATGCTGAACAACACTGTGACAATGGACCACAGAGCTGCAGGTGTTATTTTTCTGATGCAATAAACTGAGCTGGGTCTATATTTAAAGCACCTTTTGTTGTCCTTGAAACACAGTGTTCTTTTAATGTACAGTGAAAGTGTTAGCTATGCCTTAAAGATGTGTGATTATGTTTAAAATGCAATTGTGAGATTCAATGTACTAAAAAGAAGTACATTATTGTATGTATTTATAAAACACTCCTCTCACTACATTCCTCTCCTTCATCTCTTCCAAATCAGTCCGTAAAATCTCCATCCGTAAAGGCCTCACCGACCAAGAAACCTTTGAACGAGAGACTGCCTCCTTTGAGGTGGAGCTGTCCCACACAGATGTGGAGGGAATCTGGCAGAAGGATGGCATCCGGGTGAAACCAAACAATCAGTGGCGGGTCAGCACAAATGGGCTAATCCATGGCCTCACCCTGTCCAACCTCACCCTGGAGGACACGGGTACTATCGTCTTCTCAGCCGAAGGGGTGCGCACCACTGCCAGGCTCACTGTCAATGGTAAATACTGGCCTTTGAACTACCTTATTAAGTGTTGGTAGGTCTTGATTTTGCAGTGTAAAACTATTCTACAGAGAATTAAACTAAATATATTTAAAGTTATTGTATAGATAAGAATATTACCACATGAGTAAGGTTAACTTGTTGGTTCACTGACTCACTGATTGGATTTCTTAAATTTGCAGAGACTCCAGTGTCTATCCTAAAAGTGCTAGAGGATGTCCGTGTGGAGGAGGAATTTCCAGTCACTCTGGAGTGTGAATTCTCCAGACAAAACATCGATGTCAGATGGCTTAAGGTAAAACAAATCAATAAATGCTCTCAGTGATCTTGACTATGTTTTGCCTTATTGTAGAAAAATGCAGGATGTGATAACAACAGATTTTAGACTCATGAGGAGTACCTCTGTCTCTTTGCTTCTGTGAGTCAGAACGGGAAGGAGCTGAAGCCAGGGAAGAACTGTCGGATCTACTCCATGGGCCGGAAGAAGTTCTTTCAGATCATGGAGTGCGCCCGTGCTGACTCTGGCACCTACACATGTGACACAGGGGAAATCAACACTTCCTGTTTGCTGGAGGTTTATGGTAAGGGCTGCTACAAAACACATCACATTAAAGCTCCAGTCGATAACTTTTATAACATAAGTTTTTGTCATATCTGCTAAGACTGTCACTATGTCCTGACATTTGTACATGAGACACAAACTGTGTAAAAAAAAAAAAAAAAAAAAAGAGAGAGAGATCATGTTCCTCCTCCTCTTCTTAGTGCTTCTAGTGGCAATAATCCATCTGTCTGAACAAAAACAACCAGTCAGAGCTGAGGAGACTCTTACCCAGCTGTCAACGTTATCAATCACTGCTTGTGAATTGCAGTCAATTGGTCAAACTAAGCAGCGCTGATCAAATATGAATGAAGATTCTGTTACTGCATTGTCTATTTCTTGACCCAAATGTTTTCAGAAACATATTTCAGTGCTGTGTTTAGCTGTATGAGAAAGTTTTGAAAAATACTGAAAACAGCCAAGCCAAAACCAAGCACCGCCCACCAGCCAGAGCAATCTTTCTCAGTGTATATCAGGGGTGTCAAACATATGGCCCGCCAAAGGGTCCAATCCAGGTAATGATTACCACTGATCATTACAGCAGTACAAAATGGCGGACTCACTAACGTTAAGAAGTTAGAAGAAAAAAATGCAAATGTTTATCTTGTACTGTTTTTTACTAATACCATTACTACTATTAATTTAAAATATTACATAAGGCCACAACAACATAACTACAAAGCCTAGTAAAGAATGGAGAGCCATTTTTCTGGGTTCTAGCCGCCCCCCGGCCCCCCTCTCCAGCTCCTTACACTTTACCTGCTCTCTGGGATCTCACCTGAACCCGGTAACACGCTGTAGGCTATCGCCATCTTGTCAAAGCAACTCACTGGTGCCCACTCAACTACCTCTACACTACTGAGAGGAGCATATTTGGAAAGAAAGAACATGAGAAAAAAACAAAAAATATCCGTCTCAAAATCAGCACGAGGAGAGCTAGTTTAGTTAGCTAGTTAGCAGTTAGCTGTTAGCAGTTAGCTTTTGACCGTTAGCAGTTAATTATCGTTGCCTCCAAGCAGCCAGTGGTCACAACAAGCAGCTAACCAAGGTTGCATTGATTTGCATTGTGAAGCGTTCAAGTTCTATAAGGTAATTTATAAGGTTCTCACGAGGTGTTCAATGTAATCTTGTAAAATGTAGCTTTTAGTGAGAAACTTGAATAAATGAAGCTGTTTGAAGGAGAAATGTGTTCATATTTTCACAGCACTTTAAAATAGATATTAGAGAGGGAATTATGATGTATCATATATAGCAAGCAGGGTTTTTGCTTATTTTTTAAAATATGTTTTTCATGTGAAAGAAGATTATGATATGATAAAGGTTGTTTCATAAATGTGTATTATTGAATTTGTGGTCATTGTGCTTGCCTAGGGCACCAAATGTGCTAGGACCACCACTGTTTACAGCTAAAATTATATTGAACACAATTTCAAACAACTAAGTATTTAGAAATGAACATTTTCATTACAATTTGTGATCTCATGTCTACTCAAAGTTTTATGTTGTGTTTGCAGATACCGAAACACTGTTGAGCTTATATTATATATCTCCATTCAGAGGTTACAATGACAAACGTGCTCATGTTTATGTCCTCTGATACTGCTGATCTAAATCTCTTTACTCATCTCACAGAGCACAAGTTGGAGGTAGTGCATGATCTGGAGGACCTTTACATTCAGGAGGACCAGAATGCTGTCTTCATGTGTGAGGTTTCTCTGGAGGAGGTCACTGGGGAGTGGTACAAAGACGGCCACAGGATCCGGCCCACCAGCACCATCAAGATCCGCACTGAAGGTCAGAAAAGAAGGAGGAATTGATCATTGATGGGACTGAGTGATTCTGATACACTTGATCACTTAATATGACAGGAAACAATAATTAGGAGCTCCTACTCAACTAGTGACACTAGAATGTAGGAGGACCTCTGGTGGGCAAATAGCGAATAGCAACAAAGGAAGGAGCAGGGAGCACAGTTGTATAAGAAGAAGCAAAACATTCAGCAGAAGATAAAACAGCATAAGTGTCTTGGACTACCAGGCGCCTCCAGCTGTAATGTAAACAGTCTGCTGTTCTCCTTCAGGGACCAAACACTTCCTCCTGATGTGTAACGTCACAGCTGAGGATCCTGGGGAAATCCGCTTTGTAGCCAGGGATGTCGAATCTACAGCATACCTTGAGGTAGAAGGTATGTCAGTTTTTACCTCTAGAAGATCTCCATTTTATGGCATAAATAGCTTAGCAATCTCCAATACAAATCCTCAAAACATTTCCTTTCACTTTAGAACTCCCTGTGTCCATTGTAAAACCCCTGCGAGATCGAACGGCCCTGGAGAAACACCGTGTGATCCTTGAATGTACTGTTTCCACACCTCGCTCCAGCGCCACCTGGTACAAGGGCAAAGAGGAGCTGGTTGGCTCAGATCGAGTAGAGATCCTGGCTGATGGCTGCTGCCACAAATTAGTGATCCAGCAGGTGGCTGTGGAGGATGAGGGCACCTACAGCATCGAGGTTGGGGAGCACACATCCAAAGCCAAGCTGATGGTGGAAGGTAAGTTGGGCGGAGAGCTGAAGGTGAATTAAACTACTTCAGCTCACAAAACTACCAAGTGTGGTTGGGTATGGTGGGTTTTAGCAACAGTAATGGGTATGTAATCTGTTTTTCTTACCACAACTTCTTCACTTCTTTGCTGCTGCAGCCCAAGCCCTTGTAATGGTCTCAGAGCTAGAGGATGTCGAGGTAACGGAGTCTGATCCAGCTTCCTTCAAGTGTGAGGTGTCTGTCGCCATTGACAAGCCCCCCCTTTGGACTCTAAATGGAGCAACCCTTCAGTCGGGCCCCTCTGTCCGCCTGGAAAACCATGGGACAGTCCACAAACTCACCCTGAAAAACACCAGCGTGGACATGAGCGGGGTGGTGAAGTTCACCATGGGCAAGGCCAAGAGCAGTGCCACACTCACAGTGACGGAGAAGTAGAGGAAGAGAGAGGAAAGCAAGTGACTCTGAGAGAGAGAAAGCAGCTGACTGCAATGATGGGAAATGCTCATATCACCTAAAACCTTCCAACATCCATTTGTGACGTTTGGATAGCCTGCATTTCCCTGTTCTGAAGTTACACTGAACGTAAATTTAAACACCTTTGTTTTTGCTCCCATTTTTCACAGGTTCAAGATAAAAATGTAAGACTTTTCATGTGCACTCAATAGACATATTTCTCACAAATTTTGTTCGCAAATTTATTAAAATCTCTGAGTGAGCACTTCCAAGATAATCCATCCTCCTCTGACAGGTGTTTAACTCATTTGCAACCTAAATTTGAGAGAAATAAATTTACTGAGTGCCTGAAAAATGTCTGAGATATTTAGCCAAAACCTGTGGAAAATGGGAGCAAAAACAAAAGTGCTGTGTTTAAATTTTTGTCTGGCATATTTCAGATTGAGGGTATTCAGTAAAGTTTTACAGACTAAGCATTTAAAACTGGAGGCATGTAATAACCAAGTTATTCCTTTTTTTACCGTGTAGATGATTTTTATTTGCCTGATACATATTTCTAATTGACTTTACATTCTTGTATTCTGATGGAAATCCCTACAAATAAAACTCAAAGTAACACAAAGTAACAGTGGCGTCAAATGTCATCTGTTTTCTAAGGAAATTTTGTGACATAATGCTAAATAAACTGTAGTTCTTTTGCATTATGTCCACATGTGAGGTTTAAAACCTCACTCATCAATATTCGCCAACAACACAACTCAACATAAATGCTAATGTTGCTTGAGATTTGCTGCCAGTCAAATGACTAGGCAACCAGTTTGTGAATGTTAGCTGTTGGCTAACCAGTTAGCTGCTTGCTAACTGGTTAGCCAATAGCTAACATTCATGAATTAACAATGACAATGTTGTGTTTCCAGTCTGTTATGCTGCCTCTAATTGGTCAAAAATAAGCAAAAAATTAATAAATGTTGCTATAACATACAGTGTAACAGTATTTTAATATTAGATTAATATGCTAAGCTTTTATTAAATCTGAAATTGTCTCTCAATGTGGTGTGCAGTAAAATCTATCATGTCATTTTATCATGTGACAGGACAGTGTCCTTAAATTGGAGATGAATTTGTGCAAAACTTGTTTAATTTTAGTATTTGTTTCTGGTTAACCCTTTGTAACCTGGAGCAACGTCTTTTAAAAACATGGGGGAAAAGGCAATGAGCAACTTAGTAAGAAATGTTCCACAAACTGCAAAAAATGAATAAATTAAAAAAAAAAGTTTTAAAAAGCTAGGGGAAAAACTATATTTATAATTAGCATTATTAAATATTTAAAATTATGTTACTGAATTATAATTTCTAAGATCTTTTCCAGGTCATTTCCTTGTTTGTTTTAAACATTTTTTCTTATTTTTTTTCTTACTTATTTTGTTTTTAATTTTCTTTTTACTTATTTCTTGTTAATTTTTTTGTCGCTCATTTCCATCTTCCAAGGATTTGCCAACCCTTCACAGATGCTACTTTTTTTGTTATATTTGTTTTATAAAAAATAAATGCTCAACAAATCAGCACTTGGACCATCTTTCATTAAGCATTTATGGAAAACAAAAATGGCATCATTACATAGTCCATATATAATTTGGTATGATAAAACAACAGGTCAAAAAAAAAATTAGGTTACATCTATTCAATCATAAGTACAGTAACATGAATATTCCATATATTAATGAAAATTTGTTTGCTTTATTACTGTGCAAAACAAAATATACATATCTGCTGAATGTGTGAGAAGTACAGTATCAGTGAATGGGCCCCCGCAGTGACACACTTGTTTCATGTGTGATCAAATGACTTCCTATAAATACTCCTCTTTGCCAATGAATTCCAAAAAAAGAAAAAGACAATTATCAGCATTGAACCTAACTGAAACGTGTAATGATGGCTTACATGAAATACACATATCCAAATAATTACCCTGTTATGTGCCTACAACAGAAAGATACTATCCTTTAAGTCATTTGCTGGTGTTTCTGATGCATATTACTGATAAACAGACGAGGTAACCAACCAGGTCTTGCATGAAAACAGCAAGAACAATGTGTCCCCTTTGGGAAACGAACCAATATTGTATCGGAGGACCACTCCTGGGCAACAAAATAAAATAAACTCAGTAATTATTTAGAAAAGAAACAAGCTAATTTGATTGACAAGAATTTGTTAAACATAGAAAAATAATGCAATAGCTCTCAGTATGGTGGATTTAATTGTCATCCCTGCCTCGTCTAGGTAGAGTCACATCACGAGCCCACTACGGAGGCTCTTATTTAAATCCACGGCTTCATTCATCAGTGTCAACACATGGTATTGTCAACGCAAATGAGGGCGATAACAAAGAGGCCGGCTAGGGGCCACGCTGCTCCTTAAAACTGACTGGACTAACATCACCATGTAGGGCAAAAAAAAAGCAACACAGATTCAATGTGTAGGACCCCATGTGGTCAAGGAGTTTTTAAAGGAATAATCCACCCGTAAAACGATATTTTTTGATAAACTTTATGTCTGCTGGTGAGTTCCTGCATTTCCCACAATGCCTTTTTGACAAGTGAGTATTTCAGTAGCAGTACTGTGAATATTTTTGCTTTTTCTATGGTTTATTTCACCAATCCAAGAGAAAAGGACCACTCAGACGGGCAAAATAAATCACCCTTAGTCAAGGGTGTAGGTTTCATTTCAATATTAGGGGGGACCCATATGAAATTGGGGACGTTGGGGATCCTCTGCCACGAAATTTTGAGCGTCAAACACTGAATTTCCTGCCTTCTGCACCAATTTGTGCCTTTTCTGCATTAATTAATGGTGAAAACGTCTTTAATTTCGTCAAAATAAAAGTTTTATTGGGGAGAACAAATGCACATTTCTAAATATTGAGGGGTGTATCCCCCCGTTCCCTTCCTGGTATCTACGCCCATGCCAATAGCTGCTTATTAACAGTGTTTCAGGGTGGATTTCTCCTTTAAATCTGGACTGAATTAAACCACTTCTTGTCGTCAAAGGTGTCAGCACCTCACATACCCTCAAGTCCACATGGCAGCTTCCCCCATCGACACATTTTACTACAAAGTCCTGAAATTGTTTCCAGCCTATGTGTACCGCTTAGAAATTAACAAAAAAAGTACTTAGAAGCTTATGAGAAACAAACTGACAAGCCAAACTGCAACCTTTCTTCTCAACATACAACTTTCTCTTACCATTCAGATACAGTCTGAACAACGCTGTGAGAAATTCAAGTTTTGTGTGTGGCTTTAAAACAAATAACAGAACCCATCAGAGAAGGTAATGCTGGTCCTCGTGTCTCTGGGGTCAACTGTTCACAACATCTACCGACATGCAGGTGCAGATACGCTGCATTTTTGCTGTCCCATCAATCTTTAAACCACCTTTGGAAATCTGCGTCCGATAAACATAACAGCTGCTCTTTCACTGTCATGTGCAGATGGTTTGATATTCATGTTAGTGTCTTATTTGGCTTGTTTAATAGGGCTTGTTGTTTTTGTTATAAACCAATTTTCACTGAAAAAGTCACGACTTAAAACGATTATAGTGGTTTACATTGGTTTTCCCACAATTTTATGTTCCCATGGGTCAGTTTTTTAGCTTCCTGCTGCAAAAGGACAATTCCAAATTCCAAATAATGATCCCTATTTTTTATGCAATGCTGTTTTCTAAGAGTTTAGTATACAAATTGTGCTAAAATCATGTTCTACACTGCAGTGAAAGGGAGGACTGTACTATATAACTATACTTGTAAAGTGCTGTCCAATCATTTTGTTATTAGTGAATTTAATAACTCCCGCTCATTTTACTTTTTTGATCAGATTCATCCTGTCAGGTTATTCAAAAATACCTGACTGCATCGCTCTAAAAACTCTGAAATGACACCCGAGGATCACATGCTTTTGACTGCAGACCAATAGTGTGACAAAATTAGGGTGTGTGACAAAGATGATGTTATTCCAAAATGCTTAAAAGACATCTACAGTACGTCTACACCATCTGCTCTTTCAATGACGAGACTGATCAAGTTTATTTGCACAGGAATCTTTCCAGAAATTCCTTTCAACTCGGTTCCTGCTTATCGAATCCTGCATCTGCTGCAGGATCAGAATCCGTGAGAAGTCCAGTACCCGGTCTGTGTCCAGAGAATTCATGGCTACAGACCTCTGCTTTGTTAACTCAACTGCAAGTTCAGTGACTCCGCAGAAATGTCCTTAAACATTCATGCATCCATCCTTTCATGTATTCACTCACATCAGCTGGTTCATGGTAGGCTGACAGGGAGAAAGTTACAAATTTCAGGGAGTTTATGTTTGACCAGGAGGTGGCAGTGATGAAGGCGTCAAAGTCACTGAAGACTCCCAAACGTGGTCTTGGTTTGATACTGGGAAGGTGAAGGCTCGGTCAGCTGTGTCGCAATCTGTGTTCTGGTGGGCGGTGATAGCTTGAGCCTCGCTGGAGCCTCGCTGGTGTGGGTGTTTCTGTTCTGTACGCCATTTTTTGTTCAGAGCTGAGATGAGAAATCGAACACTGTTAGCTTGCTGTCCCTTGGTGCTTGAGGACTGTGTAGACATTATCCACTTTGCTCAGCCTCTCAAAGAAGGGGATGAGGTCCAGCAGCTCGGTGTCGGACATGTCATCGAACCACGAGGCCACCGGCACCTGGGTGAAAACACAGAATATCAGCAACCACACCAACAACATTGTTTTTATGTCACTGTAATCTTTTCGCAATATACTAGCTTGTATGATTTAGAGATATTTTTTAATAAAGATGAATAATTCCATAACTTGCTGTTCCACCCAAACACACCCCTGTCATGACTCAGGTACTATGTGTTCTACTCACTGCGTTATCGGGGTGGAAGATGTAGGAGGCAGGGGAGTTGTCCACGATGATGACCTTGTTCAGGTCGCGACCCAGGCGACTCAGGTCCTTGACGTAATTACCTCGGTGGAAGACACAGGACTCCCGGAAGAGGCGGGAGCGGAAAGCACCCCACTTGTCCAGGAGGTCGGAGACGGGGTCTGCATACTGCAACAGTGACAAAAAATTGAAGGGATGAACCTGAGCAGCTCCAAAAACCTTTTAAATCACTGCAAACTTTCATAGGATTTTTTTTTTTTGCAATACACTGACTATGAATAAGTACCTCATACAACCCCACTTGAAAAAATTCAAACTATCCCTTTAAGTGAAACATATTCTTAATCACTTATAATAAAATAAATAAAGGAAGTCCGCACTTGGCTCGGTGCTGTGTAGATTTGCAGATAAGGTTTCCTTTTTGTGCTACTACAATTACTTTGCATTTCCAGACAGCTCTTTTTGTTATGCTCTACCTCTTATTGTTCATTTTTTTCTAAGTTTTGCTCTGCTGTTTGCGACTTTATCACAGGCTGCTGCCATCTACCTCAGGGATTTAATCATCAGGTTAATAATACTTATGCATTTGCAACACAACAAATATTCTGCACTAATTCATGCTCAGCAGCAGTTGGCTGCAGCGCAGTAGTTTCTCACCTTGGCTAAACTGGCAGTGAACAGGATGCACTCAAACAGTTCTCCCATTCTCTTGAGGAACTCGTCAACATGGGGCCGCTTCAGCACGTACACCTGGAAAACACAGGAGTCTTTAAACCAGGTTCTGACACTGCTTACATTTCTAAATAAAACATGTTTCTACAAACCATAACTGCCTGAGGAACTATGACACTTTGTTTTACTGTTTAATATAACCTGTGCAAGTGATGACGGGACAGTCTGACTATGCCATATGTGCCAGTGCATTACAATCTCAGACATTCGAGACTTGCATCTGCAGCTAAATATAAAGATACTCATATAGATTACAGACAGACAAGCATTTGGCTCCAAAAGTAAAATCCTTTAAGTTCCCTCATTTTTTTCTTCTTTCTGCGGCGTCGGCAGCTGAGGGTAGCGTTCCTGAACCAAGTCATCCGGAATAGGCTGTGCTTGTCTGAACAAACCTATCCTGGATTACTTGAATCAGGCCCAGACCCAGGGTATGTCATCCGTCTCCAAGCAGCCAGCATCAAATCCCTTAAACGCCGACAGCATCTACTACACTCAGTAATTTAAAACTTGGAAGCCCTGCTCTCACACAACCACAAGCAAAGTGAGCCACTGTCACATTACGGGACAGCAGATGACAAAAAGTTAAAGTATGAACATTTTTGCTGAGTTTATTGAGTGGGAGTGTGATGCCAACATTACCTGGTGTACTGTTCCATCTATTTCCACAGGAATGATGAAATCTGCATTGTTCACAGGCTGTCAAAACATGAACAAAAAACATGGATATTTCTACATAAACAAGACAGAAGAGTGTTTTCTAAGTTGTTTTCTAAGTTTTTCTACTTCAGGCATGTCCGAACAACAACATCAAGTCACAAGGAAGTCTGTTTACTACCAGGAAAGGGGACGCTGCAGGCTTGTTTTATAAAATACAAACCCAGTCTCTTACCATATTAAATATGAATGTGGTATTACTGCAGGACAGATGCAGGTAGAGACAAACAGTCTGCAGTGTGTGTGTGTGTGTGTGTGTGTGTGTGTGTACATGGAGGAGCGGCTGTGTTTATTTGGGGTTGAGAAGCAGCTCGTTTGGGTTTGGCATTTGCCAGTGATGACATAAATGACAGAAATGTCACCGCCAGAGCCAACAACAACCACATGTGGAACAGTAGAGCTTACAAAGTGTTTTTCTACTATTTTACATAACTACATCATGATGTAATGTGAGCACAGGGGACAACTATGTGCTTTTGTTCTTAAAATTTCAGTCCAAATCATACCTTAATGTCCCTGGATAATCTAGGAAATTAAAGGGGACTTTTTATGCTTTCCTTATTTTACGTCATATATTTAGTGTTAAAATGTGGGCTGTGTGGCTAAAGATTCAAATAATGAGGTAAACGTGTGTACAAGTAATCCCACTGAGGAAAAACCTCAGGCTACAGACTGTTGTAAACATTGTTTCCAGCCATTTTTCTACTTTTGAAAAAGCTGACATCAGCTTGTGATAGATTTCTTTTTATGGTCATCTGCTCCAGTCACGTTACATACTCATGTCATCTTGGTTGCCAATGTTGTTAATTCCTCCCTGAGCATGTGCAATTATTGGTGATATTTTAATGGCAAAAAGTGCTGCAGCACTTCATGACTGTAACAGAGTATCTGTTACAGTCATGAAGTGCTGCAGGGAGGACTTTTTTTGTTGGCTAGCCTGAAAGTTAGCATCGCCCTGGTTCCCTAAACAAAAAGCTGATGCAATATTTTCGTTGGCTTTCTGATTATTGCAAAAAAAAAGGTTGTTTAGTGTAATAATGTTAGTGTGTAGTCTCATTTAGCCACTTGTTAACAACCACTTTTTAAGACATGTAAAAGTTAAGAAAAAAATTACGAGGTATAAACCGACTGTCTTAGAAACATTAAAATCTCTTCAGCTTGTGATAACCACAGATTTGATGTCAAGCATCTAACCAACAACCTATTCAAACAGACTGCAAGTCGAAAAAGCAAACTCATTTCCAGGTTTTAGGACTTGATCCTGCAGCTCTCTTTTCCCCCAGCTGCAATGACAGTGAAGAGATGACGAGCGTGCAGATGCAGGAAACTGAACAAACAGAGCAGACTGGGCTTTTTTGGAGGGGGGGCTTAAAGAACCAGTTGCTAAAACACAGCGTTGAATACAGGTGTGCCAGCACAGACAGTATGAGGAAGTGTTTTTTGGCCATTAAAGAATGTAAACATGTTCTAGGGGAAACTCAAAATACAAATATAAAATGAGCATAAAAACTCCCCTGTGAAAAAAACAACACTTACAATGCTGTTCTTGCACATAGTTGTTTGTAATGAAACAGTATTTTCCTTTACCTTAAAAGAGCTGTGAACTAATGTCTCATCCAGATCTATAACCACACAGATCTTTCCAGAGTCTTTTGATTTCACTGGAGGCAGCAGTGGCTTCACCTGGATCTAAAAAAAACACAAAATGATATATATTTAGATCTGGACACACCTAAATCCAGCAATAGGGAAAAAACATTAACTATAATCTAGAAATGACGAAGTAGAGAAGAAATTAGACCTGAAATGCAGTCTTTTTACTGACGTGCTTAACACAGATTTTATCTTTCCACTGCTGTCAAAACAGGACAAAAATGCAACCAGTGAGATGACGGTAAACACACCTTGGAGACGGTTCCGTTCTCCTCGACCAGCAGAGGGGCATTGTTGTTGACTGGCGGGGGTTCAGGCTGGTCTCGACACAGGCAGCAGAAAAGGCTGGAGAAGAGGCCTCCGCTCCTGGGCTTCTTTGAGGACACAGAGGGGGAAGAACCTGCAGAGGAAGAAGAGGAGGTCACTGAGCTACATTCTCTTTGGGAATACCTCACATATTTGAGTTACTGAAACAGCCTCTGTACTTTTACACAATCACACCTGTGATTCTGAGTTGTCACATCTAGGATAACTACAGGGGTGCATTTTCAAATGCATCGTCTTATTTGAAAAGCTAGAGCTGTTGCATGTTTCGCATTTCTGCTTGAAAAATTAATGGAGCAACTTGCTGATTAAAAGGACTACTTCACCAAAAAAAAGATTCTTTGTGTATCAATTACTCACCCTGTGTAACATTGAATTCTTGAAGGAAACTTTGTTTTCCTTGCGTGCCTCCATAATGAACCAGGAATCCAAAAACAGAAAAATTCTTGATGCACTGGGGTACGAGGGGGCTGCGTTTAACAACAACAGAACTATATCAAAACATCCATTTACACGCAATTTGTGTTTGGATTGGATTATAGTGCATGGGTTGTGAGAGAGTTTGTAAACTAATGTTTTAATTTAGTTTTGCTGTTGGACCCCTTTCACTCCTAGTCATCAAGAATTTCCTCCGTTTTGGATTCATCGTTCATGTTGAGGCAGGCCAGAAAAAAAAGTTTTCTTCAGGAATTCAACACAACACAGGGTGAGTGACTGATATACAAATGATCATTTAGTAAGTGAAGTATTCCTCTAATTGACATTGTTTGGCTTTATGCTGCAGTCACATGAGCTCAAGGCGACAGTAAACAGCAAACCAGAAATCATTTTAGTGGACTAGAGCAGGTTTGTAAAATTAGGTGAGGCCAGCTGAGAATACCAACAAAGGTAAGGGTGGAGGGCACTGACGTTCAAAGTTAGAATATTTTAACCTTCTGCTGTCCTCATGATGGAATTTACAACCTGTTGTATAGTCACTCCTTCTCACATGGAAAAAACACAGGCAACCTGGACAATAACTGGACACTGGGGGAAAATTACATAAAATACCATGCAAAAAATGTTTCTTTTTAATGTATTTTATTCTATTCTTTGTAAGCAATACAGCTTCACTATCGATTACAACATATCATGAATGTTTCATTTTACCGTTCCCATGCCATTAAGAAGCTGTTTTCCGTCTGTCATCTGTCTAATTTCATGTGAACGCAGCATTAACCATTGCTAGGTGCAATATTATTCCAGAGCTAAAACAAATGGTCTTTCAATAATTCAGTCAACTGACAAGCAACAATTCTGGTCATTTAATTTTTTTAATTAAAAAAATGTCAAACATTCTGAGATTGAAGCCTTTTCAATAAGACTATCTGCGAAATGTAGTTATTTATTTATGTTTTCAATCACTGCAAACCGAATCAGAACAAAAACTGCACTTTGGTAAATTGAACATTTGTGATGTTTCATAGACTAAACAATTTCTAATTTAAATGTAAATCAACAGATAATCCTAGCTAGGTTCAAGCCCTTTTTTATTTCAATTAAATACAGTTTGTTTTATTTGTTTTTACAGAGCATTTTATCCCTCCAAAATGAGCAAAAGAGTCAGCAGCAACCTCTTTCTAACAATTTGAAACCAACTTTAAAAAACTTAAAACGTACTCCAAAACATAAATTATTTGCCAGAATCATACCATGAGCACTATTAGACTAACATTTAAAAAAGTTGTAATACACATATTTTAGACCTAATTCTTGCACAGTGCCACCTAACTGATGACTCCATATTGTCAGTGAATGTACGAAAACAGTAAAAAGCACATCCAGCAGCTTTCCTCATACTTTTGTCATGTGCACAAACCCTCCTGGAGACACGTCTCTGTCAAGAGCACTTACTTACATAACTCTCTGATGTCAGCAGCAAACAGCCTGAACCACCACCAATGAACATTCAGCACTTTAACAGCATTATAAAGGCATCATAAGCATGTAATAGCAACAGGGCTGATATGGCCATTCACAAATACTGATGTCAGACTTTGGCACCATGCGTGTAGCACTGGATGTCTCTGGTGTTTATGCATATGTTAAATTAAGGTACATCTTTTTAAAATTAACCTTTTTGCATATAATACAACCACAACAACAGCAACAATAATGCACACTGCATTAGAATGAAAATAGTCTATTTTCAATAGCAATATACAACAAAATAAAAGTTAACAATTAACAGCAATTTAAAACAATATAACACTATAAACTTGAGACAAACTTACTTAGTATGAAAGCCTCACTACTTTGCAACCAAACAACCATGCATGTCAAACAACAACATGCTCTACTCAACGTTTAAGCCAAAGGCAGTTGTTAAAGTGTAACAAATTAAAAAGGAGAGTATTATTTCCTCTCTTTACAGCTCAGGTTGCAAATGACTACCACTTACTTGTGATAGCTACAGTACATACATGGAGGTAATGAAGCCTACCATACTCTACAAGACTAAGGTTCTAACACCCTCTCACATCAACAGAGGCTGTGAGATTTTAGTCACGCACTGTACAATTTTTCAAACACTGGGGATCTTGCAGAGTCACCACTTGCAAAACTACAACTAGATTCCTTTTGAGATTATTTCCCATACTGCTCCTGGTGGATAATACACCAAACTCCCTTTAGGAAATATGACATATTAACAATGTCATACATATCTGCAGAAACACATAACTCTAGAAACCCAGGCTAAAAGGCCTCATATGTCGACAGTATTCTTGTCAATTCAGCACCAATATCGTCCATAACAACCTCCAAAACTGGGGCAGCGATCTTAGCTTTTTGGTGGATGACATTTGCTGGTTAACAGTTTGGAACAATTTAGATCGCACTTCCAAAAATCCAAATCACAAGCTTACAGACTTTAAATTTTTGCATAGGATGTATCTTACACCCAGAAAGCTTCATCTTATGAGGCTTATACCCTCTCCTGTCTGTGAGTTCTGCCCTAATGGTGACACTGGGTCTTTTCTTCACATGTATTGGAATTGTCCAGGGGCAGTATTTTTTTGGAAAATGGTATCTGTAACCTTAACTGATCTACTTAATGTTCAAGTGCCATGTTGCCCAAAGCTGCTCCTGTTGAATGATACCTCCTCTTCAGATCTTTTGTCTTATCAGAAGCTTGCACTTTTAGTTGGCCTTAAGGCAGCAGCATTTATGGTCAACCTGGATTGCTGCTTCCTGTTTGGTGCTGGAGAGAACGCAGCTATTGGTTGCTGACAATGTTCACACCATCAATCTTTCCTATGTGCATGAGCAAAAACTAAAAACTTACAATGATATTAAACATGTTTGATTTTATCAGAACATCAACACAAGCAAAAGAAACTTTTACAGCCACTTTGCATCAAACAATCAAGATCACTGAACGCGTCACAACATTTATGATTTTTTCCGGACATTGGAAATTTATCAGTGACAGTGATACCTCTTGAAAAGACATTGAGTGTAAGGCTGCCATTAGATTCAAATTCCAAATATCAGACTTTGGCTGCTTTTATAAACAACGAAACAATGTCTCCAGCTGATCCCTGCCAAACAGATTATTAACCAGACAAACCTGGAAAGCGGTGAATGAGGTTTTAGTCTCACACCCTTATCTCTGTCAATCACTGTGGTATGACAGACGAGGAACTGTGCACCTGCAGAGTTCAACAGGTATGAAGCTCATTCCTGCTGCTTTAACCCTTCGATTTCTGTTTAATTTGTTTCTGTTAATGTATTAGAAAACATATACTGTGAATTTAAAAAGTGCATCACAAATTAAGTTCAGTAGGTGCAGCACATAATAAGTTTTTAGTTATGTATTAGAGGCAACAGGGAAAGATGAATAACACAAAAGACGTTTAATGTGGCATTAAGTTATTTCTGTCAGTCATTCATTCATTCATTCATTCATGACTTCATCTTTATGACGTTATTTTGAAAGGTCAGCAGGCTATCTGGCTGAGATAACTGACTGAATTTTAAGGCGGTATTTTAGGCTTCTTTTTGCTCAGTTTGATGATTTAGCCAGAAAAACCTGTTCAGCCATTCCCACTAAAGTTTACGTCAGTCACTGAGATTATTTCTGCACTCACAAATGTTCGTCAAGCCAAAACTCCAATCGCTTCATTTCCACGTCCCATAAATCTCCGATTAACACTCCTCCACACTTTTCTGTCTCGCATTAAATTTGTTACAGTCTCTTTATGCACCATACTCCCTCGCTCTGTGTGTCCGGACGTGACTGTGTTACCAACACACAAACCTCTGTTGTGCATCTCTCTCGCCTCTTTCATTCCCTCTCTGCCATTCCCTCCTACTCCATTTGTGGATTCAAACCCCGTCTGACCCTCCGCTGGCCTCTGCCGCACTCAGGCCAAAACAGGAAGAGGAAACAGACGGGTATCAGTGGAGGAAGCTGCTTGCCATCATGTTATAGTGTAGCAGGAGTGCGCTTGTGATACTAATGTCCGTGTAGTCTCTTCCTCACACAGTCGATTTCACGACAAATCAGGTTTTTAATAGGCAGGTTTTCAATTCATTCATGTATGAGTGCTATCTTCCATTTTCATGCAGTTATGAATTCAGACATTTCATTGTTAACATTTCTGTTACTTGAATTGTTAGAGAGAAGTCCAACCTTAATACCAAAATCTCAATTTATGCCAGATAATGGATCCTCCTTTTCTGAATACCAACAAACTATGAACATGAGCAACAGGGAGAAGCTATTTGTAATTCTGTCACACCTTAGCTGTGGAATTAGTAAAAGGATCTTATTCAGTCCCTTATGACATTATTTACTCCCTCATGTCCTTACTCATTGTGCTCTTCACTTCTTTGTTTTCTTTTTCCCTCCCTCATGTCCTAACTTCCTCCCTTATGTCCATATTATTTCCAGCGTTACTCCCTTGTCCTCATTTGCTTCCTTGAGTCTCTGTAAGCTTCACTATTCAGGTTTTTATCACATGCTTTTCACCAGAAAAAAATGACTAAGTGTGTGCTGACCAGGAAACACAGAGTGTGCATTAATTCATAGGGGGGGCATTGTGCAGATGATTAAAAAAGGAGCTCATTTATGAAGTGAAGTGGAGCATACTGCAGGCAATCCAGATTGTTTTGGTGTGAGTTGCAGAGTGTTGGAGATATCGGCTGTAGAGATGTCTGCCTCTATCTCTTTCAAGAAATCATGACTGGGTTCCTCAAGATAATCCACAGACCTTGTTATGAGCAGTTTCATGTAGGAACTATTTTCTTTCTACAAAACTACACCAGCTAACTGTATCACCACGCGGAAGGAGGTGTGCATCTACTGCTAGCTTACCTAGCACCAATGAGCTAGCTAATGTTACAGCTCAGCCTAGGAGGATGCTGTTAATGTTTACATCTCGCGTTGTCATGAGCACAGACCTCTCGTCCATGAGTAGATACATGTATAGCCGGTATAATTTGGTAGAAAGAAAATACTTCCTACATGAAACTGCTCACAGCAAGGTCTGTGGATTATCTTGAGTAACCAGGTCATGATTTCTGGAAAGAGACATTGCTGTTGAGTTTTTGAAATGTATTTTTTGGTGCATTATGCACCACAAGCTGAGTGCCATCTAGTTCCATTATATTGGAGAGAAGGCAGACATCTCTACGGCTGATATCTCCAACACTTGACAACTCACACCAAAACAATCTAGACTGATAAATAGCACTACAGGTAAGAGGAAAAATACGTAATTTTGATTTTGGCTTGAACTGTCCCTTTAATCTTGAGGGAAACTATCTCAAATTTCCTCTACTTTTGCCATATATTTTAATGTTCCTAACGCTTACACCCAGGCCACAATGGATTTCATTACATTTAGCTCTACAACATGCTTTACAGTGAAAGAAACTGCACCCCTTGTCAGTATTATTATCAGTTTTGGGGCATCAAATCTCTTCAAACTGCTTTATTCCTACCATCATGTCCTTCAACTGAAGATAAACATTTTAAAAGGGTGTAATGTAAGAATGCTACAAAGAAATTACAAACGCACAACAAATAAAAGTGTCATGAATACACTGTTGTTCCAGAAGTTGCATCTAATTTTGCAGTCTTTTAATTTGTGGTTTTTAACAGCCCTCCATCTGGCTTCAAACGGAGATAAAACAATCGTCTGATGTATATTGCTGTGTAAAGTGTCTGTGGCATCTGCTAAAGGACAAAAGCATATTTAAAGCTGCTTTTCATTTTCACTTATATTAACACTTAAATAATGCAGGAAAAAGCATGTATGGGCTTGAGATGAACTCCATTTTAACACATTATAAAATACCAGACATTTCAATACAGCTACCTGGATGAAAACCTGGTTCCTACCTCAACATGTTACCTCCTGTCACATAACTTCACCAAAAATTAGCAATTCAAATGCTGCTTTATCTCTGCGTGACATCAGTGTGGAATCATTCACACTCCATACACTCTGTGATAAGATGCTTTGCCTTATCAGATCATTTTATCATCTTGAAACCTTCCCGTAGCTGATGCTCACACTCTTAATATCTTATCTGTGGCTGTTAGGATCTCTAACATATGGAAACTAGTCTTGACTAAGCTGCTAAGTCAGTGGCGAAAGGTAGTTATGACGGGCCCCAGTGCATGGTAGTGACTAGTTATAAAGTACGTTCATACAGCATTAGGCATATAGCTAATGCTGTGTCTTACTGTCGCTGTTATGTTTGAAAGGCATGACTCTTTGCTCGGCTTGTAGATGAGCTCAGCTTATCAGTCGACAGATTTTGCACTTTAACTACCTACCTACCATATATAGTATTGTCTCGTTACATAATCAAATAAAGACTAGACAGCAGACAAAGTCATCATACATATTACCCACCAATCATAACTGCATATCTGTATATGACAAGAGACACCAATATTTTTTAGTAGCCTTAATCAGTGACAAGATTTCCACCTTTTTTAATGCTTTAATTCCTTAAAATTGAGCTGCTTTTAAAACAGCTGACTTTCATGTGATAGTAAAACTCCAATAAAGCAGACTAATGAAACTTTATAGTCTGGTTAGTGAAATTATACTTATCATACTTTAAAGACTTTCATGTTAAAAACAAACACTGTACTTATCGAAAGAATAAAAAAGACATTTATGCAGACTTATGTGACAGTTGTATCTGATATTTAATAAGAACCTCCTGTTTAACTGACAATCTGATGTATGAGCATGCACCAGCATGGTTTGAGGCCGGCTTAGAGAAGCTACAACACTACAATTAGTGGTAAATGATGAATTGACCTGACAGTAAATAGAAGAGCACTGCCCTTTTTATAGATGAGTGGGAAATGACAAACAAACTAAATGCTGGATTTGTCCAGGGGTTGTGCGAGTATATTTTGCATTTTATCTATCGGTTATTCACTCTGAGACGATGACACAGAGATGATCTACTTATAAATATACACATCCCAAAATAATGTATGACCCATCTATTGGTCTAAAAAAAGGAGCGGCCATCACTAGCAGAGTTCTTACACCTTTTCTGACCTTTGACTCTTTGTCTTGCATAGCAGTTAGAGTTTTCATGTGTATTGGAATACAGCATAGACTTGTATTCTGTGTTTAATGGGTGAATTTCCATCGAAATTATGTTGGATTGCAACCAAGAGCATAGGTTTTGTTTAAACACTGTGGGGGACATAATTTAAACAGACGGTTTTATTTTTATGCACCAATTTGTGACTTTTCTGCATCAGTTTGTGGTGTAAATTTCATTAATTTTGTCATAATAAAAGTCCTTTGCTATTTTCATGTTTTTTTCAGGGGAGACAAATGCACATGTTCTAAATATTAAGGGAGACTTGCCCCCTACGTTCCCCATCTCCAAAATCTGCACCTTTGGTTTCAACAGTGCCTACTTCTCATGAAGTCGTAGTAATGATCTGCTGTGTCAGCATGTTAAGCAACACCTTGTTCATTCCTGAAGTTGAGAAACACTCACTAGATCAAAGATGGCCCAGCATGATAAGCCATTCATTTGCATACTGCGTTTTTTATAACTACCGGCTTACAATTAATCTTAAATTTGATTTATGTGCCAAATTGTATCACCGTTAAAAGCTTTAAACCACAAGTTTTGTTATGCCATTTAGTCAACATTTAAATGGTGTAAAACCATAGTTTCAATTCCAAGTAGAGCAACAGTGTGTCTGTGAGTGGGGAACTACAAAAACAAGACTGAAAATCCTCACCTGCCGCACCTGAAACTACACACAAACTGAAACTAAAAGTTCTCTTTTTGATTTGATGAAGCTCACAAGTCATGGTTATCATAATGTCTCTGTAGGCGGGTCAAAGTAAACATGCTGTTTGAGACAGCAGCTGTGTTACACAGAGAGCAAGCATGTTCACAAAGTTTGGGGACAAGGTTATGTAATAGATTAGGCTATTACACGTTTACAAAAAAAGCCTCTGCTTGACATTTCGGCCATTAATCATACCTTTGTGTGTAGTATGCATGAATAAGTCTTAAACTTCACACTCAACATAAAAATCACTGCATGAACTTTGTTATTATGCAGGCTGTAAGTGACACCACAGTGCAGCAGTTTCTCAGGGGACAATGACTGACAGGTCACCTGATTATTCAGTAACCCGCATTTACACTGTGTGGCATCTCATTGGTTTGTGTACAGTGGCGGTGCCAGAAATCCATGCTGCTAACTACAGAGCTGATAAAGTTAGTGTTACACTGAGGAAATCACTATTTCACAGGTGTGACATTTAGATAAGAGGGAAACAGAGTAGCATTGTAATAAAATAAATAGCACTAAGAGCTGTGACAGCAAGCTAAAAGAGATCTGAGGACATAAATCACACACTCAGTATAAAAAAACATATTCATTTGATTATCATGATTGAAGCCAATTCTATACATATTTTTCAATGTATTTTTATAGCTTCTTCTTCTTCTGTTACGCATTTGATGCTATTTGACTTCTGGGTGAAAACCCGGGGCAGAAACAGAAGAGTGTGCTCAAAGCACCTAAGCCAGTTTGGGTCCAACTGACTGTATACATGCAGGAGTAATTTCAGTCCCAATCACGTTGTCTGGGTATGTTTGTTCAACTATGAGAAATTCTATTTAGTAAAAGTTTGGACTGACATGTTTACATGTATTTCAAAAGTCCAGTTTTTGTCAGACTAAGACAATAAATCCATTTTCTCTACTGGCATGTAAATGTACTGAGTGGCGGCGTTAGGCCTGGGCATCTAAAAAAATCCCCAAATTAAATGATCTGTTGTTCCATTTGCACTTGCCCTTGAATAATATACATCGTTACACTTCACCAGTTTTAATATAACTCTAGTTGATACATTTTTGATGTTAGCAAAAGTATTCTGCCTCTATTTGTCCGTGATATTCTTGCGTCATTCTTCTTCATTTTGCAAAATTAACTTTAAAAAATGTGTGAAAATGCGTGTTTGTGTTGACTTATTATGTTTTTATTAAAATACTATCGCTTAATCGAGCATTGGTACGTCACTTCCTTTACTTTCATCACAGGCCAAAGGGCCGCAGCCATAACCTATGCACAAATGAGAAACAGTGACAGTTTAAGTGCTGAAACTTGTTTTCGGTCCACTTTCCTCACAGTGGTATTTGTAACTGTGCAGAAGTTGGTGCAGTAAAGCAGATTACTCTGCGGTTTCTGAGTTGAGGATCGTGAAGTCTGACTCACGGAGCTGCAAAACTTTTTTCCCCCTGACATGAACACAAGCGGGACAAAAATAAAGCCACTTACCCCTCTCTCCTGCGGCTTTATTTCCCTCTTCATCCCGGCTGACTTGGGTGATTATTGAGGACGGATTGTCCATCACATCCAGGTCTGGTCCAGAGTGCTGACCTCACACTTTAAAGTTACGGATTGTTCGCTGACTCGGTGCATTAAACCAACTTAACATGTAGGGAAACGGAGGCGAAGCGTCCCAGGAAACATCGCAACAAGTCGCCTACAGCAAATCCATTACACTTCGGGTGTTGTTGTCCGCTCAGGTCGCCGCTAAAGTTTGAAGTCTGAAACTTGTAAAACATTTGTCAAGGAGATGGCAACTTTGATTCAATATGGTGCTCAACTCCGCTCGCAATTTCAAGATACAAACATGGAGGTTTCAAGGCTTCCCATTTCACTTAAAGTGGCGCAGTAAGGGAACGGCCGTGTACCACACTCCCGCCCCTGGCGTCTGCAAGCTTGACGACGATCCCTTAAAGTAGCCCGAAACAAAGTTACTCAAAACTAGTTAGCTAAGCTAGCGGCTAGCTACTCCGAACTTATTATATGCAAAAACACTGCATAAAACACTTCTTACACCACTAACACTGCTTACACTGGATATTTACGTTTACGCCACCTTAACTGTGCTTAACTAAGCGACCATATCGTTAAAAGACGAAAGCAACGAAGCGTAATTTACCAACAAGCTACAGATAGCAAAACAAACTAATTTCGGCTAACGCGTATTCCTACAATACCAGCACAGATATGACACCGTTTTCACCCTGCTTGCAACTTCTTCCCCGGCACGTTTCTGTATCTGTGTCTCGGTACTAATGTAGCTGTTGTGTAAGTTAATGGCTAATGTTAGTAAAAATTTGCCCAACAGTAAAACTTTCTGTAGAAGTAGCGGCAAAGAAACGCCCAGTTTGGGTCCCCTTGAAACCGCCTGGAGCCAGGGAGCGTCGCACAAGTGCCGTCTCTGTCTCTGGTGTATACTGTTTCCCTCGTCCAAAAAACATTATGTTTTATTTTATTTTATTTTTTGGCAGGGTGAAACTGCTTGTGTAGGCACTACTGTTTTTTTAAACTTTGTTTATTGTGAAATGGTATAGTGCTGTATGATACTGTATTTTCAGTGACACATAATGTACACAATAAAAACAAAAGCAGAACAGAGTCATAAAGCTAAAATACAGTATTTTTTATTTTTTTAAAAGAAGCAAACCCCAAATAGTAAAAAGACAAAACAGACAGGGAAAAAACAGGCTATCAGATATGTAGGCCTATTTGTGAGAAGGGAGAGCTGTATATGTTCTGTGTCTGGTTCTGACTTTTTCCTTTTACACAACAGTGAGCAATTGGATTTTCTCTTTGATATAATAGAGAATGGATTCCATATGTTGTAAAAGGTCTTTGTGGGGCCCCTTATTAAGTGTTTTATTTTCTCTAGTTTGAGAAAACAAAAACAATACGTCTTTGATTCAGTGAGCAAAGGTAGATAGTGTGCATCCTTTCATGTAAGAAAAATTAGGCATCTGGCAAATAAAGTAGCAAAAGTGATACAGTTGCCTTGGAGGGGCACCAAAGATGGGTCAGTAGTTATGTTCAGACATTCAGAGATTGTTTTGAAGATGAGAGACCAACATTCTTGAAGCTTAGCACAGGACCAGAACACATGGGCACAAGTAGTGGGAGATAAGTTGCAATGACTGCATAAGGGACTGACATCCGGGAAGTATTTTGACATTTTCTGTTTTATCCAGTGGGTGTGATGCAGGATTTTGCACTGCATTATGCAATGCCTAGCACAGACTAGCACAGACTGAAGAGGTATGAATTCTTTTTAAGAAGCATTGCCATAATTCCTCTGTAATGTCTTCACTGAGATCTAACTCCCAATCTTCCTTAATATGAGGGAGATATGCCTGCGTCATTCAGTTTCAGAGACATACAGTATATAAAGGTGTCTGTTAACACTGAGCTTTTGGATCTAAAAAGAATAAAATTTGTTAATCTGTGGCTTGTTGGATAGTTGTGATTGTCTCTGAAGTGATTAAAGTAGTTGGAAAGATATCTGGGGACATGATGATTAACAATTTATTGTGTAATCCCAACTGGATTTGAATGACCTCTTCATTAATTTGTGCTGGGCAGTCTGGTTTATTTTTTTTAATGTAGTGTCGCGTATTGTACCAGGAGGTGGCAGCATAGTCAATATGACATTGAACTGATGCTCAGGCCAACATCATTAGTGTTGATCTATCCAACAACTCTTATTTTCTTGCCAAGAATTTAGTCTTTTGGCAGGTTTCAGTGAGGGCTGTCACCACCACAGCTTCCCCTGATAAATGTACATGTAATTTTATGTCACTAGTCATTTAATATAATATGTTTAGTGGGGAAAAAACAATGAAAATACAATATTGCCAGAAAAGTCTCATTGATTTGTAACTTTGGCCATACTATTATTGTTATTTAATGGCACATAATATTATAGTGTGTTACAGTATACACTGTCTTATTGCACAACTCTATACTGTACTGCCAAAAAAATATAAATACAAGTATTGTTGCAAGCTTACCTTTTATTTTGAAGGCTTTCTGTCCCACATTTGTCATTGTTTCTTTTTCCAACTGTGAATAGCTCCTCCATTTTTGTTGTGTATTATATACATGACAAACTTTTTTCTGGAATGCAACATTTTTTCTTAACCAAGTAGGAACAGCATGAGGCTGAAATGATACCTCTAATACTGACTGTTTAATCAAAGTGTGCCTGTAAACCACGACATTGATCCAGCATGAACAACAGCAGCATCCAGGAACTGGCACACCTGAGTGGAATTACTGTTATTAATTACACATGTGCTTGACGAGTTAAACACTGCAACACCACTCAAAAATCAAGCAATTGTAGTGTGCATGTTGGCAATCTCAAATTACTTGATTTTTCACTGTGAACACGGTAAAAGGGGCAGAATTGTATGTAAGGGGACACTCACATATTCAGGCTAATTCAGGGGTCCTTGAGGTTTCCAGGGGACCCTCAGCTAAACAATCTGTAAAGTTTTGCACAAAAACACAAGTGGGGAACTGTGCAATGGTGTTTGTGTTGTTTACAGCCCCAAGCCCTGTATGAATGAATTGTTTTAGCAGCAAAGATCTCCAAAAAATGAAGTAGAATTACTGCCTTTTGGCTGTATGCCTCCGCAAACCAGTCAAGTCACAGTCACAGTTTACATCCATGTCTGTCCAGACTTATATATAGCTGTGACAACTGGCAGTGATTCAAATATGGATGTTGCTGCAAAGACGCTACATATTCTAAGACATGGATGCTTCACACACATCTTCAACTCAGCAGCACAGAAGATCTATACAGTCAGCACAGTTTCAATGTGGACACCCAAAATTAGTGTCACCGATTCAGTATCTTCAGTATGCGCCTGAGTTATGGTGTTGAATAATGGCCAGAAAAGTGTTTTTGCAAAACTTAATAATGTCACAGTGACCTTTGACCTTTTGGATATATAATGTCCTCATTTCATAATTTTATCCTAAGGGTTAGGGTCCCAAGAACTTATTCGGAGAGGTCACAGTGACCTTGAACTTCGACCACCAAATTCTGATCAGTTAATTTTTGAGTCAAAGTAGATGTTTGTGCCAGATTTAAAGAAATTCATTCTCGTTTTGCCTTTAATGACAGCTGAGGATCCCCTGGAAACCTCAGCAGCTTGGGGTGTGGAGGGATCGAGCCCATGGCCTCTGCGATGGGGGCACCACCCCTGCACATGGGGCACCCGCTCCAACCACTGAGCTACTGGGCGCCCCCCTTCAAGGTGTTCTTGAGATACTGTGTTGATGAGAATGACATGGATTAGGTCACAGTGATCTTGACCTTCACCATCAAAATGCAATCATTCATTCTTGAGTCTAAGTGGATGTTTGTGCCAAAATTGAAAAAATTCCCTCAAGGCATTCTTGAGACATTGCGTTCACGAGAATGAGACGGACAAGGTTACGGTGACTTTGATCTTTGATGACCAAGATGGATCAGTTCATTCTTGAGCCAAATTTGAAGAAATACCTTCAAGGCATTCTTGAAATATGCGTTCATGAGAATAAGACAGACAAGGTCACAGTGACCTTGACCTTGACCACCAAAATGTAATCAATTCATCCTTGAGACCAGTGCATTTATATGCCAAATTTGAAGTAATTCCCTCAAGAATGAGCCCATTGTTGTCAACAATGGGATGGATGAACAAATAACCCAAAAACAAAATGCCGCAAGTCAAGTTTTCAGGAGAAATTTGAAAACTCAAGCCATAAACTGCATCTGACAGAGAGAGAAGCACGTTTCTCAATTGTATCAATAGTTTATTACATACTATCTCATAAAAACATCTTCAACTTTTTCCACATATAAACACCGCAAATTGGTACATTTACAAATCTTCAACCGTCCAAATTCATACAAAAAGGAACACTGTGATAGAGCAATACACAAGACGTTCTAATATTACAAGGACTGCATGTGCTGTGTGTATGAATGTAGAAATGTTTGCGTGTATGTAAGAATCTAAATGCATCTGTGTTGCTGTAAAGTCCAAATATTGCAGTCAAATTTTTGCTTTGTTCAAATAATTCATCAATTGTGAATAAGTACCAATGGAGACACATTTACAAGATAAATATTTTGGATATTAATCCGATTTAGGCACTGACTGGGTGATCATGATTGAAGCAACCTGACCAACCGATGGGTAATACTGAGAAACCACAGCAATTTACCAGTGTATGACTTTTCCAAGTAAAATGTTATCTACATTACGGACTGCTTATTACAGTTAGAGTTCAGTTTTAACCACAGAACAAGAAGTACCAAAAATTCCTAGCTCAGCCTAAAATAGTTCATTTTTACCGTGTGAATCTTAACACCAATCACAAAGACACTCCTTATTTTTATTTAATTTTTTTTGCCTCGGTGCTAATCCGAAAAGTGAATCAAAAATGCTCGCGCGCACACACACACACACACACACATGCAAATAAATTAACATGAAAAAAGTAAACAATTTCAAGAAAAAAAAAAGAATATTTTTGGTTTTGAGTTTTAAAATGTGTAAGTAAATGCAAAAATAAATTAGCAGCTTAAATCATGGTACATTCACATGAGTTGTTTACTGCTAAGTTTAGTGACAAAAACAAGGTTGCGCAGTAGAAACGCTAATAATGTTCTAGGCTGATCGTGCAGAGTGGAGACGGATGTTTATCGAAACCAAATATTAATGTGCAATTTCAGAATTCACAGAAATTGTGCAATCAATCAAAGAAAACCAAAGAACATCCCGTGTCCTTTCAGTAGATTAACAGCTTCTGAGCAGTTATCATCTATTCAATACACACGTCACGGCGGTCTGCTTCTACTTCTGTTTGTGTTTTTCTTACTTCTCAGAATCCTATTAGTGTTGAATGTTGAAGTCTCCCAAAATAACACATGGACTCCTGTCTTTTCTTTGGATATTTATCTATATCCAGCTGTCTGCCCGTCCCCTGTGCCATAACCTGTGCCTCATTAGGCTGGCTGACATTTTTCATGCAGCAGTGGTTCACAGAGGGGTTATATGGCAGACGTAACTCCGCAAACTCATGTGTGCTGCTGCATCTCACTTCGGGCTGGGAACATGCGGTGGAGTCCCAGATGCCAGGGACTGGGGTGAGCTCTGGTAGGTGCGCAGCAGCACCTTGTGCTTGGTGGCACCCTCTGTGCGGCGGCATTGTTGTTCCACCAGGAACTCTTTGAGTTGGCCTGAGGTGAAGGTGAGAGTCTGTCTCCTCAGCTTCATTAGATAGGAGTCCTGCAGCCAGGCTTGTGTGAAGCAGTCTCGTGTGGTCAGACGGGCCCTGAGAATACATGCAGAAATACAC